TATCAAACAAAACCTGTCACTCTTGGAACTACAAATGATACCGCAGCAGTGGTGGTCGTAGAATCCTTTTTCGGGCACAAACACAGTCGCCAAGTTGCTAGGCTTACCTCCTTCTTCTCCAACACCAGTAATGCCAACCGGCGCGGAGCGCGTCGACGCATCATCATTAGAACTTACTCGCCCTCCCTCTGCTCGCTGGAAACGTCCAGGTTCGCTACTAGGCGACTCTCTCTTCGCCACTCGCTTCGCTGAATTCATCTCAATTCCACCCAAGTCGAAAGCATCATCCTCCACAGTCTCGACAGGGGGCTTGCTAGCCGCTTCAGCCGATTCAAAAGATTTTTCCGATATTGCCATTGTTAGATACTACTCGTTTCCTTCAGTCTACTCAACTCTCACGCTTTGCCGCTTGGTAAAGCAAGTTTGGTCTTAGACACAAACTAGAAGCAGTATGGGGCACAAATCCCACGTTTTATCGATCACAAGAACAGATTGAAGTAAAACAACAACCCCCCCCGTAATAGAAAAGTGAGAAAGAGAGAGGAGATAGCAGCGAGGAAACGGAGCCAAAAGCTCAACGGTCGGAAGGAAAACCGGCGAGAAAGAGAGATGAAAGAGCGGGAAGTGCGAGCGGAAGACGATTGGAAGAGGATGGGCGAGGATGCGTCGAGCGGATGAAACATCCTGTGGTATTCATGGATGCACTCTCAGGCGGATCAATGCCAGAGGTAACAACTCATGGAAGCACAGGCTCAATCAAGAAGAAGGCAAAGGAGTTTGACAAAGTCAACTTGTGAGGCTTGAAGCAATCAGACCATTACTTGAGGCGAAATGGTGGTGATGCTCCACATTGTCTTTGACAGCTTAACCTGCTTAGATCTCCTTTAGACTTTACCCTACTTGGCATTGAGCGCGCATAGGCACGGCCAGACCAATTAATGCAGGGGGCCACCACCGTTGGCCAATGCTGCACATCATTTCGGAGTTGGACGACATGCAACAGGGGTTTTCTAAAGAGTTCAAAGGTGGATGATTATCCAGGGAAGCCATGCAGCAAGAGCCAGGCAACTGCGGTTCCGTGGGATCAGGGGCGATAAATAAATTGAAGAACAGTACGGGGGCCAAAGGGCTTGGCTTTGATGCATGGATCCCCCGAGCCATAAAGAATGGGTAGCAGGGCAATAGAAATTTATGCGGGTCTCCATGAAGAACATCATTTGAGAGTATGAGAACTGAGTTTTGTTTGGCATGGACAGACAGAAACAGACATTGATGTTTGTTTGCTAGCTAGCTAGCCAGTTTACGTTGGTTATAGTTGGTTGGTTGCCAACTGGAAGTGTCCGACTGAGCCCAGCAGGGACCTGGCTCGTAGATAAGATAGATGCACATCATCTGATTTTGGCAAAAAGCAACTGAACTAATTAACTAAGTAAGTTTACTCGCAAACTGCCGAATAGCCAAAACACAGGCTTTCGCTCTGTGGTACCATTTCGGTTGTTTGGCTTTTTTTATCCCACATGGGAATCAACATCAGTGCTTATGGTACGTACTTATGAAGTGCTGGATTGCGTCGGCAGGCTCCATAGATCCCATTGCATGAGTTGAGTTGATCAGTTTCCGGCGATTCTCTAAATCGTTTCAGTATTTCGAGTAGTTCCCTATTGCATAGGCTGCAGTGTCGTGTCCCAAAGGTCTCGACAGCGCTGATTGGGTTACCTTAGCTGCCATAGATACTCAGTACACATCATGTACTTCCACTGGGTGGCGTGAGATCCTACAGGTAGAAATGAGCCTGCCGAGTGGACAAAATACGCCAAACCGATGCATAGGGACACCAATTCGGAGACGCTTCATGATGAGAGATGATTTATGTGTTCGAAATGGAAATCCTACCAGGTACCCGCATATCACACAAGCCGGTATAGTATGTCATGCTTTGGGCAATGATGATGCTCACAAATACAGCCACATAGACTAGTGCCATAGCAGACTGACAGGTTGTTGGTCGTTGGAACAGCATAGGCATTCCCACCAAAATATTTCATTTCGCGTGGCGGGAGTATGACACCACATAATCCATCAGGGATGCTCCCATAGAAGGATGTGTTCATCAAGACCAAGCGGGCCAAATTGTCCAACAAAAGTAGTTCCGGTGGAAGGGTCCCAGATAGGTTGGTATTTTGCACTTCAAGCTCCTCAAGACTAGACAACAAACCAATTTCTGTTGCAATAGAGCCTGAGAAATGGTTGTCATTGATACGCAACTGCTGTAGCTGGGTGTGTTGGGGAAATACATCTTGTTCTAGCGGCCTGCCTTCTAATTGGTTGGATTGAACGAATAGTGCTTTCAGTTGGGACATCTTGGATAACTCTTCTGGTAAAGTGCCAGTGAGAGAGTTCATTTGCAAGTTCAAGTTGGTGAGCTTTGTCAACAATCCCATCTCACTTGGAATTGTGTCATTGAGTTGAAATTCAGCAAAACTTAGGAAACGCAGATTGGTCAGATTGCCAATTCCGGATGGAATTGATGCAAACCCCCCAGTTTTCCGATAGCATAGAACTAGTGTCTCCAAATTGCGCAGGTTTCCAACTACCCCAGGGAGGAAAGATGCTGTATCCAACAGAGGGCACTCTGAGAAACCCAAGTTCTTCAGGTTCGACAATCGAAGAATCTCAGTGGGGAAAGACCCAGAAAATTTCGCTCTCTCAGATGCCAGAACTGTCAGGTTGCTTAGGTTGCCCAGCTCAGAAGGTAATGTCCCATCAAGTTTGCTGCCTGATATCACTAGTTTCTCCAAGCTTTGTAGCTGACCCAGTTCTGTTGGGAGCGTGCCAGATACTTGTGTTGCGCTGAACCACAAGGCTGTCAGCCTTGTCATCAGCCCAACCTCTGTTGGTATATTTCCTTTGAGCTGGTGGTTCCAAGAAAAACCAAGTATTTCCAAGCTCTTTTGGAACAGGGATATCTCTGGCGGCACCGTTCCATCCAATTTGTTGGCATCCCCAAGTTGCAATGAAAGCAGTTGTCCATCGTCAGCACAATAAGCTGCTGGGTTTGGGCCTTACTTCTCATGAAATTGAGCCCAGTTGCACTCATTCAAGTCCCAATCCAGCCAGCCTTGATTTTTCAGCCAATAGTCCCCCCGTGTTGAATAGTAAAGGGTGGCCATTGCAAACCTTTGCTTTAGTCTCCATACAGGGAGTTGTGTATTATTGGATTTGTTGATATTGTTGTTGAGCCATTGATATGCCTTGGTCTGTGGAGACATAGGACTTTCCATTGCCTTGAGGGTGAATTCAGGTAGATGTAGCGTTTCCAGAAGCGAAATTGGTGCTTGTGTGATTGAAGCTATCTTCCCTGGATTTTCCTCTTGTATTGAAGTCACTCCATTTTGCTGCTTTGATGACTGTGTTTGATTACTTGATTTTTGAGCAAGAAGGAATGCTACAAGAATAGTTACAACAAGCACTTTTGCCAACATTGTTTGCAGGGAAAGGAATAAGACTAGTTTCTTCTTCCATAATCTTTTTGCCCTTGTTGTTATTGGAAATGCAGTTGGAATCTCCCCATTTTCTGAGTCATCAACTGGGTCAGCATGAATAAGACCATCTTCACCATCACATTCATTTTGAGATGTAGGCACCAATTCCAATCCCAGCTCTTCCAGGTCATGTCTTGGGCGATAAAACATCGGTCTAATCCCACCCACAGCATAGGCCCCAGGTGCCTCTTCTGGGAACCTTCTTGAGCTTGCTCGGTATATTTCTGGCGGAGATAATGTGGGTAATGGCTGGACCCTAGAGGTACAGGTGACATCATCAAGGGGCTGGAGTGAGGACCCATCGAGAGCAAGGCTATCTGGAAAGGTGACCAGCTGCATCTGTGTCTTGTTCTCTTTTGCCTCTTTCTTCCTTTCAACATTATTTCCAAGTGCATCAAAGGGGTTGCTGGTTTGTTGTTGTTGAACAGTATCATCATCTTGACTCTGTGTCTTATACTTCATTGTTTGCTCTTTCCTTCCTTGGCCTCTTGCTTTGCGTTTTCGTGGTCTCAATTGTACTAGCTAGTACTGTGCTTCTTCTCCTCCTCTTGCTTTGCGTGGTCTCAAGTGTACTAGCTAGCTAGCCAGCTAGTTCTGTGCTTCTTCTTCCGTTGGTCTGCTCGGTCTTGGCTCCATCCCTCAGGTTTTAGGGGGGGTCAGGCACCCCGCAGGGGGGCCGGGAGGGGAGCCCAAGAGAAAAAGAAGGAGAGGGTTAGATTCCAGGTTCCGAATCAGGAGGACGTTGTGGCACCCAAGAGTCATCCATCCTAAATCCTCGAAAATCGAAGATATATGGAAGAGTAGGGGGAAGGCAGGAAAGTGGGGGGTATCCTAATTGGTGCACCTACACGGTTGGTATTTAAGCTAAAACGGTATTCGAAGTATGTCCTTGGTTTTGAATGTCTAACTGATTACTGTTTTTTCTCTACTACTCCTTCCCCGACCTCATCCATAGTAGCCCAAGCCACCACTCATTCGCAGTCTACACAAATCAGTATGTGGTGGTCTACCCACACGTCTCGTCAACCACTTTCGGTAGGGTTCACAACAGCAAGATGACAATGGTCGGAGATATTGGAATGGCATCATAGGCACTGGCTGGTACATCATTAGTGGTGGAGCAACGTACGGTAAGGGAGGTGGCGGCGCTGGCGCAAGCGGTGGTAGCTGTTGTTGTTGTTGTTGTTGTTGTTGTTGTTGTTGTTGTTGTTGTTGTTGTTGTTGTTGTTGTTGCTGTTGTTGCGGTGCTTCTGTTGTTGTTGCTGTTGCTGCTGTTGCCGAACGTTGCATCTGTTGTTGCATCTGTTCACGATGACGTTTCAGATTCTCTAAATAATTTCTTCTTGCCGCTGTAGTTGGTGCATGTAGCCGATTTGAATTTGAATTGCCATTTAGACGTTGACAGTTGGGCTGATTGTTTGGATTTGAATTCGAATCTTGTTGCGTTATCGCTGGTGGTGCTTGTGGTGTGGGCGCCACAATCGCTGGTTCTTGTGTTGGTGCAGCCAGTAATGGAAGTGGCGGTTCATTTGGAGCAACCGGCGATGGGGATGGCGATGGCGCGCAACACTCTTGGCAGAGGCAATGACCAATCGCACTGTATTTCTGTAAGTGCGGCTTGTGGATCACCAAATATTCAGAAAAGAATCGCTCACCATTATCTTGCGGTAACATCTCCACCCAGCCAAATGGCACTGTCACACCCATGTCTTTTGCCATCTTGTTGATAAAGTGTAATTCAGAGTGGTTCCAGTAAGGCACAACCTTCTCCCATCCTGCCGGCATTGATTGTCTCTCCTCTGGTGCAAGTGTCATTAGTCTCCTTTTATGCCGAATGGAAAGATTGTATCTTGCAGTTCCGTTGAGGTTTAAGGCATCTGCCAGCGACCTTCTCATACCGCCATTCGCGAAATGAGCAAACCTGTCATGAAAGCACTCCAGCTTGGATTCTCCTCTCCTTGACAACCACTCTGTAAGTTGGTGCTTGCTATTTGGATTCGGCAAAATTGCGTCATACATTTGCTCCAGTGGCATTGGATCGGCTAAATGATGTGCTTTTTCTTTGCAGTTCTTGATTGCTGTTTTGGTGTCAGCAGAGAACAACGTGAAGCCTTTGACTGGATCAATACGGCCTCGACCAGGCCTGCTGTCAACCGAAGCTGTTACTTTGTACTTGCAGAACCAGTCATCTAACATTTGAACCATGGTTTCGGGCTCACGTAACTTCTTGCGCAAGTACTTGGCATACCGATCTCGGAACAATTTAGAAGCCTTGAGCTCAGCAATTTCTGCAGAAGAGTAACACTTCCCCGTGACCGAGAGAGATCCATCCTTGAGACATCGAAGGAGATTCTCATAATCGGAAGGTTGGTACACGTACAGGCATCCAAGAAGATCATTCAATGCGTCCATGTAATCAATATGACCCTTCTTCATTGTCGAAACGATTCTTTTCTCATAGTGGAAGAGGCCAAGACGACCTTCCATCCCAGGAAAAACAGACTCCCAATATTCACTTTTATTCGGCCATGTATCGCTGTACATTGCTTTTGGTGTAAAGGCTTCTCTTCTGGACAGTTTGGTTGCTGCATGAGCAAAGTGGATTGTCTTTGTTGAAGGAACCAGAACAGCCGAGGCTATTTCTCCTGTTGACGTTGCTGCATCCCAAATAGCAATTGCACCGACACTCTTAAGGTAGTTCTTGACCGGCTGGAACGTGTGGTCTTGGCAGAAGATTCCCTGGTTGCATTCCACACTCTGGATTTCACGAGTGTGTCGGTCATTGTCACTGATGGCCCAGAGATTATTGGGTGATGACAGTGCTTCATCGAAGATATCACGGATGGTGTCACCAAGGGGTGGATAGAGTCGAATAAAGCTGCCGTCTTTGTCCAGATATGGTTGTGGTTGGAAGGTGTGATCCTGCGCCTTCTTGTGTTGGGACAAGGAAAGAAATGAGGCCACCTTGCCAGAGAATGTCTTGTTGATAGCACTGTAAAGTAAGCGACTGCACAACTCTCCATTTGCATAGGTGAGCATGATATCACTAAATACATTCGTAGTTGTTCTCGACAGGTGCGAATTCCTCTTCAATGCAAACTTTGGTTCAACAGGGTAGAGCGATGAAGCAAATGGCGGTATGGCAACCAACACTTCTGCGGCATTGGAATTGAAGGTCTTGTGACAGCAAGGGCATTTCATAGACATTACAATACACCAAGACACTTCCTCCAAACCAAAGATAGGAAACAGCGTCTGGTTTTTGGAGAAGTTGGTTCTTTTGTTCCGTAAGATTCCTTTGCACTCCCTGTAAGGGCATGGAACAGAAATCCCAAGCCGGATCCAGTCAACATAAAGAAGCTTGCTGCCTACAATGGAATGATAGTGAGGCTCTAAGTCAACGGGGGAATCTGGAACTGTCATTGTGATGCCGTGGAAGAATTCTCTGAATAGTGTCTCATCTCTGGGACCAATAATCTTTTCTGCTACCTGATTAGCCAGAGCTAGCATTGCTAATGGTGGGCCTTTCGCCTTGTGTTTCAAACAAAATGACTCATCTTTGACGAAACTGCCCACGGCTTGGCACAGAGTATGTGCCGTGACTTTCGGAGGTGGTTTGCTTCCCTCGCGATCCATGTCAATGTCCGCCTCTGACTCCATGGTAAGTTGTTCTGGTTTCTTTTTCTTGGCTTGTGGTCTCGCGGCAAAGAATTTCTTACCGGCTTCTTTGGTAGAGTGACGCCAGCTTCCCTTTTCACTTGGTTTTAGGGGCGTTTCGTAGTGCTTCTTCAGTCGCTTAGCTTCCTGGTTTGCTTTGATACTCCTTTGGTGAAGCTCTGGATCACCTCTGGTTTCGGTATTCTTGACACAACGTTGATGGTGCTTTCTTTTTGGGATGCGAACTGGTAATCCTGCTTTTCTCTTGGCATAGGCAAGGCACATTTCACATTCCTTCAGAGCATCGAAAGCTACTGTGCCATCAAGGGTGGACTGTGATGGCTTTGTTCGCTTTGGGTAAGGATTACTGGCTGCCAGTTGATGCGCTCTCTTCTCTTGTGAATTTCGCTGTTGACTCTGTCTCCCCATTTCTTCATTCTGAGCCACAGGATTGTCGCTCCTTTCAGCATTCTCTTGGGTGGCTGCTGCAAGGGTCATCTTGAAGTGATTCGATCTCAAGATAATAAGACATTGTGGGAGATAACAGTGCCGACAGTGCGGCAGAGAGCGTCATTGTCAGTTACTCTTTCGATGGAATCTTCCTTTTCTGTTTTCTGTTTCCTCGAAATCAGTGACAAGGTAGCACAGTGGTACGTAAAAGGATTCGACTTGGCGTCTAAGTAATTCGCTGTCTTACTTGTGTCTTACTTGAGTTAACGGTACTCCTCCACCAATCATATACCTGCCTTCTGATCCTGAAAATCGTCCCGGGACTTTGGCTTTACTGTAGATGCAAGGCCCTCGCTGGCTCCCGACACCACTTCCACCGAATTCCAAGCTTTTTTGTTGTGAAAAAACTTTTGCGTACCGGTACGCCGGATCACAACTTCCAAGCTCTTGAAAAACATCACTGGTATTTTTATAGCCTGCAGAGCGGATGAGGCTTCTCGCAGGATTGATCACTTCTGCGAAAATAAATGCTCTTGAGGTGCCCGCAGCGTGGAAGACGACGCTTCCTTCATCTCATTTATTTTGCGGGACGATTCTTCGATTGTGATTCATCATTCAACTATTTTCCAGTCCTCTCACTCTTTCCTCTGGTTAGCTAGCTCTTCGAAGACAATTAGTTACGACAATGAAGGAGACGCTATGGGTCGATGCTTTATTATTGTTGCCAGCACAGTAGTGGCCTTTTTCATTGCGCTCTGCATTTGTCGTCGAACGCTTCGAAACCACCAGGCCAGCGTGGAGAACTCGGTGCAGACCGAACGTAGGGACAAAGAGTACTCGCTGACAGGAGAAAGCGATGTTGGGCTTGACAATTGCGCCGAAGAGGGTACTCAATTGGAGGAAGGTCGCCGAGAGGCCATCGACGATGAGTCCCGAGACGTGGAGGAGGCTGGGTCTCAAGACGATGGCGACGGCGACGACGACGACGACGACGACGACATTGCTCTCGTAGCATCAACCTATCACCGAGCCAAACTTTTCTTTCCAACGCTAGATTTGACATTTGAAGACGCGACGGAATACCAGTGCAACAAGTGGGATTATCAGCTTCGAGGTTGGAGTTCGCCCACCGTTCGAATCAAGGATATTGTCAAGGATCACGTGAAACGAGAATTGACGGCAATGAGCTCGGAAGAAAAGGAACACTTGCTGAAACTAGAAAATGCCGTTGCATTTTGCTTGAAAATTGGGATGAATAAAGATGTCGTGGAGATGAAGTTTGAAGCCGCCCGTAAGATTGAAAAGGAACTCGGCTTCAAAATGAAGACTCCCATTCTTGATTCCATCGAGCATCTGATACGACTGTAGACCAACTTGACCATGACAATCCATTTGGAGAGGTCAACGACTGTATCCAAGATGGAGCTCGCGTTGATCGCATCGCAGAGCTCATCAAGCAACTTCCACCCGAAAACGGCTTTGCTCTCAACGACGACGAGAATGCTGACGAGATCGATGACTCCAAGTATCACTTGTTGTATACATGGGGGTAGACGTCCATCCCGAAAACCTCAAAGCTACCTTGGACAAACTTCAGAACGCTCTCAGTGAGAGAGGATTTGGTGACTGTTATATGTATGGAACTACCGCAACGAAACTAGAGGGCATCGTAAAATCCGGATGTGTCCAGCGAAGCGAACAAGTCTTGAACAAGCACGATTTCGGACCTGGATTGTACTGCTTCAAGGGCCTCCTGGAGGGTGCTCTGTCGTATGATTTTCTCGGGCTTGGCCGAACCTCCCTAACTCAAAAAAGAAACTGCCCATCTCGAAGATACCGAGGGACAATCCGGCTGTGATCGTCTTTCCAAATGAATGCATTGACGGGGCAACCTTCCATGTAGGCTACGACGTATATCATCATCATGAGAAACAGTTGAAGAAACATGTGGGCCGCTACAAAAAGTATCTGCAATCGAAAAGACAGTGGAATGCCAAACCGGAGAAAGACTTTCGATGGAAAGACTTTGTCAAACTTGCCCGTTACTTCGGAGTGGTTCCCAGTGATCGCGAATATTCGCTCTTTTTCGGATGGCTGCATGACAGCAATTTTTTGCATGAGACTGATCGATGCGCTGAGCCCAGGATTGAGGATGCTCGATGGGACCAGTATTGCTTCCCAGAACCCGTTGACCTGGGCCGAGACTTGCTCTTTATCGAGCTTCACATTGACTGGGGTCAATGGGTTGGTCGAAATCCCACTCGGAGTGACCTTGAAAGCGAAAAAAAAAAACGGTACTCTACAAAATGGCAGGGTGCCTTCCAAAGGCTTCGGAGAGACAGAGAAAGTGCAGCGTTTCAGTATACGATAAGCAGGTCCTTCTCTCGCTCTTGTAATGATCCTGTTTGAGCACAACTTGAAAGTATCAAGCATCACGTATCCGAGTCTGTAATCACATAAGCAATAGTGTTGTCATTGACTTCTTTAGACCTCTATGTGCTGATCATTACGAAGCACAGCAGCCAATCGTTAGCTTGACGATGAAGATATACTGCAAAACCCCCTCCGCGTGAGTTTCACATCCCGGTATATCTTCCCTACTATAGGCCCAAAGTTGTTGCTCTCAGAGTCTGCTTTTGTGTGGCAACTTGCAGTGCTGAGGACAGAGCATCATCACCAATCTGGATGCGCTTTCTTCAGAAGGGCTCGGAAAGGTGCTGGCCAATCAACGATGTGCTCTTCATCACCATCGTCAGAGCTGGTCCTCTTCTTGATGGGAGAAGCATAGCGGCCAGTGGACCGTTTTGCGGCACGACGCTTGCTGCGAGGCTTGGGCTCAGCTTAGCTGACTCGACCAACATCTCCTCTGCCTCTGTCTCTTCCTCTGTCTATGTCTCTCAAGCGGGTGGAGTTGGCTTTGCAGCTGGGATTAGATGGGAGCTTTCTTTTTGGGCGCCTCAGGCTCAGGCTCAAAGTTGTACTTTGTCTGTGGCTCACTGTCCAGCCACTCTTCATACTTCAAACGATCGAGTGAATGTGGCTACTTGGACCAGGAGCCGGAGCCAGGGAAAGGGGGCCTGAAGGGCAGCTATCTATAACCACTTATACATGTACTTGGTGCTATTATAGAGGCTTATGTATCTTGCTATGCAGGGAAACCCAGAAAAATCGACGGCTTAGTGAAATCATGGATGCCTGTACTTGCCAAGTAGTAGAGCCACTGAGAACCAATCCTTGACAAGGAACATTGTCTCAAGTGCCGAAGAGCGAGTGTCGTAGCGACCGTTGCTCGCTTCTTGCACCTACCTGACTTGTGTCATGGTTGACGCGAGGCTAGACACTGCCGCCGTTTCATCCTCTACTATAGGAGACGAACTTAACATGGGTGATCTACGGCGAAGCTAACAATAGCACCTCCAGCCGACCTGAACAGTATGAAGCAAGTTGATTTAGCCCAACGCAATTCAGTATTCGTTTAGCTTAAAAAGAAAAAGGGGGAATGTACAAAAGGTAGCAAGAGGGAGGGCGCATTGCTTCTTTGGTCATCAGCAGTCAACAGTGCAGGTTGACCACTTAATACTTCTGGATCCAATCGGGGAGGAGTTGGTCAACGTTGCCCATGATGTCGTGAACCATAAGACCGGTGATACCCATCATAGCGGCACGTCCGTTGTTCAATTCGATGGTGCGCTTCTTCCTCTTCCATGCATCTGAACGTTCGTCCCATCCAAAGTCAAGAGCTCCTAATAATCATCCACGAGACACACACACACACAGGAACAAAGATGTGAGACACACGTGCCAACCAGTGATGCATCGATGTCAACGAATCGTCATTGCTTACCGTTTCGGAAATCTCCAATGAACTCAGCCTTGAAGTTTTGGGCACCAGCGTCAGTTCCCCAGGGAGCCTGGGATTGATCCTGGTTGGCAGCTTCCATCATACCCCAAGTGGCAATCATTTGAGCCCAGACCATTCCTGGAACTTCGGCAAGGTTAGCGAATCCACAGGGAAGGTCCTCAGCTCCTGGGAATCGGTATCCAACATATGTGGAGAGGTATCCGACAACGGCAAGCATAGCAATGCGTCCGTGCTTCAACTCGACCCATCGTCGTCGGTCAAAGTCCGCCTGATCTCCGTTGGTGGGATCCGCTCCCAAACTCTGGGTGGGATCGAAGAATCCCAAAGGCGCTTGGGCACCAATCTCCTTGGTCAAATCGGCGTGGAGAGCCAAAGTGGTGCGGTCGGTTTGGCCAGCAGGCACAAAGGCGGCAGCACTGGCGATAAGGCAAGCAAGGATCACAGTCTTCATGGTGATATTTCTGCAGAACGATTAGACTACTAGTACGACAAACGGGTAAATTGTGACTATCGCAGAGCCGGTGTCAACCATGGCGTCGAGGCCGGCGGAAGATTTCCAGTTCAAGAAGGATCAACGATCTTTCCTCTTCAAACACGAACCTGTTGGCAGACAGACACTGCTACGTATAGCCTGCAGAACACAGAACAATGACAGCGACCAGCTTGCGTGAGTCCCGCGATTGCTGCGAAAGATGGATGCAGTCGAATAAGCTTCGATCGAGTCGAATCTTCATCGAATACCGCGTCCTTTTTGACGAAGCCAAACCATTTACAATACAGTAGCGGTACGGTGGCTGGTGGTATGTACCGGTGTGCATACATGTACCGGTACCACAAGGGTTGCCAAGACAAGATGGATGAACAGTTAATAGCGCTGCGCTGAATTCTAAAAATTGGGCTACAGTACTCAGCCACATCTTCTTTCATTCTCCATTGGCTGATAATGGTTCCGGTAGCATCATGATGCATGCAGAAACCGCCGCGTAAAGAGCAGTGACCGTGATCTGAGGCGCTTCGTTGCACGGGAGCCAGTTTGAACTCCTTAGTCCATCATTTCCTTCTCATGCCAAGTCTCTTTACATATTAAAAGTAGTTGGTCATGCACAAGGAAACATTTTCTCGCAACAGTCCGTAGGTGACAGCCGTCGCACCGCCTGCAATTTGACGACCATCAGTAGTATCAGTAACAGGATCAATCAACTCCATTATGGCGCGACATAGCAACTCCAAAAATGCCCCACAATCCAATTCTGGACGGGCATCATGAATGGACTTTCTCCACCGATTCAGATACAAGTAATACTGAATTTGCTCATCTTCTTCGCATCCTCTGTAATGAATGCTACTGTCAAAACTTTGCAAAGTCCGGTTCGAGTTGTGATGATTGTCATTGTCATTGTTATTCTTGAGCACCGTCGTGACGAGTTCTCCCAGTGCTTCCTTTTGAATACCCAACACGGTCAGATGGGTCAAGGATTGATTGGATTGCAAGTGTTGCCATAGCATCTTGTACTCAAGGGGGACCATCAAGTACAGAGTTTGCACTCGCGCTTGTTGCTGCTGTTCGAGTAACTGAACGATGGCTTGTGTAATGGCTTGTTTGGTAGTGTCATGCCGTGCCTCGAAATGATCTCGAAATGCCATGGCCAAATGAACCTTGGTAAGAGTGGGAATGGTGGCGAGTTGTTGAAAGAATCGTTCCAAACAAGAAATTTCAAAGAGACTCGTGTGATTTCCTTGGATTCGAAATCGAGTTTGATTCAGACAGAGTTCTTGCAGACGTGAATTCACCAGTGGTTCGTCCATGATGGTCGTTGTTGTAACGTTGTTGGGCAATAGAATGCGACATCCCCAGAGATGCAATGCCGTAGTGTGCTGCAGCAATGCCCGCAGACTGTTCCACTCCATTCCAAAGGATCCGTGCAATTCCAACAATTCCAAATTTGTATTTGTTGTGGATGCAAGAGCAGACACAAATGCCGGATTCAAGCCATTCCCTGCTTCATTTTCCGGGGAACCATCTTGATCCAAATCTTGGAGGTGAATCCGCAGACGCTCGAGTCCATACTTGGATGCTACGACATTGGGGATCGTAGCAATAGTGCGGTTGGAGTGTGGGAGTGTGGTCAATGCGTCTTGGGGGAGTTCGAGACACAGCGACTTGTAGGGCTTGCTGTTGTGGTTGTGGAGTAGTACGAAATCCAATCCTTCCAGGACGGTTGGATTCAGCCCATGAGCGAGACTGAGACGCAACCATTCCTTCTGGTCATATGGTTTCTTGTCGAGTATGACTTGCAGGGCGGGTTGTGCCACTGTTCCCAATACCACGGCGCTACTGAGCAACCGACCAAAAATGGCCGCGCCGTGGCTGTGCCCAAAGCGATCCGTTTCCTTGAGTATGCCGTCACTCCAGAGCACTTCACTAATTCGTAAGACGTCCTTCCAGTCGGGTGCTGCGATTGTTGTGGGGTCAGCATTCGATTTTCCATGTTGGAGAATGCATTGTTGCAAGTAAACTTCCCACGGAAAAATGCCATCCGTGGCGGGTTGATGAATGGACAATGGTTCTTTTTGAATGAGATATTGAATGATAGCGTAAGGAATATTGGGATTGGAACAAGCCACATGAAGTGGTAAAATGTTGCGACAGGATTTACTGTCGTGGGGAGATCCTCCTTCGCCCTTTAGCGCCTCGGGAAATAGTTCACACACGTCTTGAATGGCAGATACCCATGCATCCAAATATTCTTGTGGTTGTGGATAATGATTAAAGTCAGTACCGGTATAGGTGATACATGTAATAGAAAACTGAACCAAAAAGTGGCAGAGTGGAGGAAAGGGCATGGCAGCGGTGTGATACCCCAAATGATAATGACGCGTGGCTCCGTACCGCAAGAGATCATGCAAGCAGGTCGAAGGCAGTTGGAATCGATGACTGGCATGCTGGGGATGCGCTTGCAGCATGGCCACGGTGCGAGCCAAATGCTCTCGTGTCCAAGGACCCTCATGCAAAAGCATCTTGGACAGTTCTGCCCGGGCCTCGTAACTTCGGGTTGACCAACTACTCGTCAATTGCCTTTTTTGGGGTAGCATGGTAGCACTCCTATCTTCTTCTTCTTCTTCACTGCTAACGGTAGTATCGCCAGTGTTCATCTCGTCTTCTCTCTTTATATTTTCAATAACCAACCTGCTTTCTAGCTAGCTTTCGACTTGGGCTGGCTAGCTTGTGTTGATTTTAGAACACACAGCCATCAACAAAATAATGAAGCTGCCTCTTCGCTCTTTAGAACACAATGCAACAGCTGCCACAAGATCCGTTGGGTGCTACCCAACAGGCATCGAGCAGGTAGATGCGGTAATTGAGTGACTTAGTGTACGGTAGGGTCCTTGCCAGTCCTGCAGAGCTTGCCTAGAGAACATGGGATCCCAATCCCAGGCAGTTCTCCGGAGAACCTGGATGCATGGATACAACAGATTAGCTCTATATTATACGGTACTGTAGGTCCCAGCGCTGAAGTCGATAATGCCTGTGAACTGCGTGGCTGACAGTGAAGATTTAGTCCACAAAGAACCAGTAGGTTCCCCCGTTCCGTTCGCACTAACGCACTCTCCATTGATACCGCCTTGGAGCTCGAGACCATCGTTACCAATCACCCTTGGGATGGTTCAGGCCTTGAGTGAAGATGTTCCATCTTCATTGTCCTCAAGAGTCAAATATATCATTACCTCACCTACCCCTACCGGTACATCCCAGTTTTTCTGAGTTGGCCGCATACCGGTAAGCTGCATTGAATCTTTCGGATCCAAGTCTTGATTCAGACGTCAGCAAAATCGAATCTTTTCAACCAGCTCTACCGGTTTGTATCCAAAGTCAACTTCAATCAACAAGATACGGTGGGCTGCATCGTCATCCAAAAACAAACCACGCAGCTGCATTGAGCAGATCTTTGGCCGCAAGCTACGGTGCTACGTAGCCATCGGAAGAAATAGACAGCCTGCATCGGAATTCTTTTTCGTTGGATTTTTCTTCGCCCTTGCTGGATCCACCATCATATCTTCTCACAATTTTTTGTCTTGACAATCTAATTCACAAACAAACACAATCAAAATGAAGACCGCCATCATCGCATCCCTTATCGCCTCTGCTGCTGCCTTTGCTCCTGCCAAGGATGCTTCCCGCACCACTGCCTTGAACATGGCTTTCGAAGACGAACTTGGTGCCCAAGCTCCTCTTGGATTCTTCGATCCCCTCGGAATTGTTGCCGATGGAGATGCCGAGAAATTCGAACGTCTTCGTTATGTTGAGATCAAGCACGGACGTATTTGTATGTTGGGAGTTGTTGGATACCTCATCAACGCCGCCGGAATCTACCTTCCAGGAGACATTGACTACTCTGGAACCAGTTCTCCGACCTCGGATACGGATGGGATGCCTCTTTCGCTGTCCCCGTTGCCGGAGCCCTTCAAGTCTTTGCCTTTGTTGGAGCCTTGGAACTTGCCGTCATGAAGGACATCACTGGAGGAGAATTCCCCGGTGACTTCCGTAACGGAGCCCTTGACTTCGGATGGGACTCTTTCGATGAGGAGACCAAGCTCACCAAGCGTGCTGTTGAGTTGAACCAGGGACGTGCCGCCCAGATGGGTCTTTTGGGACTCATGGTCCACGACAAGCTCGGAAATGTTGAAAACTTCTTCCCCAACTAAGCAATTCATTTGTTGCTTGCGGGTCTCCGTGGCGTGGCAATTGGCGATTTTGATAAAGGTTTAGCCAGTTGTGACGTTCTGCGTACGAGGTAGTCATTTTAAAAAGTAAAATCTGTTTCTTTTTGCCTTGGCAAACCATACCAAACACCCAACTGCGTTTTTCAATACTTTAGATCAAGACAAGAAGTTCATCAGGTCATGACGGTGCACAACAGCTAGGTTTCGGTCGGACTGATCATTCGAGTAGCGATGACCCTGCGCCGTGCATCTGCAAACGAGTGGACGAGACAACTCGGGATGTGCAATGTGGTTGATGGAAGGACCAAGGTTTGGGAACCTGCAACGTGGTCAAGTCCGAGATTCTACTAGCCAACCATTGCACGGTCCAAAAGATTCAATTCCTTGTCCTGCTGGAGACAAGTTCGTCGGGAGCAGCAATTGTTGCTACCGGTACCAGGTAGCAAACCGAAGCCATGGTGCCGACTCGACGTGGCGACTACTAGCTAGTGTACCGTAGAGCACAATAGCAGAGACAATCACAAACGCGAGTTACTTTCAGGAAAGATTCAATCCATGTAAAAAGAAGAGATAGGTGGACATGCTAGCTAGACATACAACCTGCATGGGTATTGGTTCCAAGCAGTTTACAAACATGCCTCATCTCGCTCTCCTGGATTGTCTTTTTTATCCCCGCCTCACAACCTAGACTAGCTATCTACGCCTCGTCCTCCATGGCTATCTTCCCGTGGTGTCACCCGATACCCTTCTCGTTGCAAAAATGCTTTGGCTTGTTGAATCAGTGTTTCCCGAAAGGCTGCCGGATACGTAGGCACAAACGAGTGGAAGAGTACGTGGCACAAATCCTCCTCCACCTTGTGTTGTTGTTGAGGCGGTGTGCCACTGTAGAGTACCGCCATCAAGGCATCCATGGCGGCTGCCAAATCTCCATGATCCGCGGCAGCAGCATCATTGAGAATCTTGTCCAACTGTTGGCGGGCACGTTCGTAGCTGTAGCTACTACTACTGGGGCTGTGGCGATCCTCCGCCGGAGGCTCGGGAGGATGTTCACTACCGGTATGGTGGTGCTGTGCAGGCCTCACGGGAGTCCAATTGGAAGGATGATGTGGCATGCTGTTGGCCGGGTGAAACGGCATGGAATATCCCTCACCACCACCCCAATGATGATGCTGATGCTGGCGCGGATGGTGCTGATACCCTGGATTCCATGAACGGGGTGGCAAGGTTGGCGTCACGGACGGTAATGCATGTGATGGTGGCAGATCCTGGCACTGTCGGCTGCTACTACTAGGCACAGGACTTGACAACAACGGGGGTGTTCTGGAACGATAATGATGACTGTCGTGGTGCCATGCATCGGACGGATACATTCCTGGCCTGCCAGCAGCAGCAAAGTGATGATGTTGATATACCGACCAGGGGGGAGGAATGGGTGGTGGTTTTCTCCATGCCATTCTGGAAGGAGGAGCACGGAGCACCGTGCCATCGTCTTGTCTCACGGGCGAATAGGTGGGATAATGTTGGTAGCGACGAGGCCTGCCAAACTGAGCTCGCTGCATGGGTGTCGTGGGCATGTTGTGCTGTTTGGAATGTTCGTGGGGTTGTTGGTCTTTTGGTCCTTGATCAGTAGTGGCAGTGCTACCGGAAGCGTTGGATCGTTTGGGGGTATCAGCACTCGTGGAGGGACTATCAGGTCGTTGTTCACTAATACTTGTAGCAGGCGTAGAAGAATCAGTATCCGTGTCTTGCTTCTCTGCAATTTTATCAGTGGATTCTTCACTCGCTGCATCATTGGCAGTAGTTGTATTGGGTGGATCTGCAATACTACACGTATCAGGGGTATCCTTCTTTGCTTCCTTCACAGCCCTTCCTTTAGGGGTAGCTTTTGCCTTGGTAGGAGTTTTCTTTGGGCTTGGCGTTGTTTTGGGTGTCACCTGAGTGGGTGTCTTTGCCCTGGCGCCCACCAACTTGCCCTCCGACTTTGGGGGAGTGACCGTAGTCTTTGTGGGAGAATTCTCGCTATTTGAAGTCTGCTTTTGACAATCGACAGTTTCTCGCTGTTTGGCCCTTCCACCTCCATACCCCACCACGTAGTCGTCAAACGTTCGGAGCTTGCGCTTGCGAGGACTGATGCGCCGGGTTGGACTAGCACTAGCATTCTTACTACATGTAGTAGGACCGGCTTCTGCCTTGGATGGACTGGAAACAGCAGCCTCCGTGGGATCATCATCTTCCTTTGATAATGGAGGGCATTTCCTTTGCTCGTGTTTACTTCGAGTAGTTGGCATGGCTGTTGGATATACGGGCGGTGCTGTTGCAATAAATGCAGTGCTATATCCACTCTGTCAAGGTCTTCTTCTTGCTCTCTGCCTGAATGTTATCTGTCTCTGGTCTAACGAATGAATCTGTCTCTTGAGCGGAGGAATGAATTTTCTTGTTGCTGCTTTCTCATTTCGTCACCTCGGAAACTGCTTCCAACATCTCTCGCGTGCATACCGTTTGGTTCGTGTAACGTGGCGCGCATCGGAATGCGGTCCTATCATTCGTGGATATTCAAATTACTTAGCACCTGGCAGGCGTTGACCCAACGGTGGACACGATTTGGTGGCGGGACGAGTGAAGAATGCCACCGATGCAGAAAAGACCGTTGCGTCTCACATCATCTTTACCTTTGGCACCGTTTCTTCAAAGGAGGGTCTACATGTATTAGCTAGCTAGCTAGAGTAGGGTAGTTATCTTGGAAGCCTGTGGAGGGCAAGGCGTAGGATAAGAAAAGGTGAAGTTTGGGACTTGGTTCCAAGGGATGAGGGGCCACAAACTGGGGACAATGTAAGCGCCTAAAAGGGCTTGGTTTTGCAGATCCACAGAGACGTTGCATTTTTATATCGGGGTCCTGCCAAGGTAGTGCATGTGCTTCGACATCGGCGACCTTTCGGGGGCGATACAGGACAATCGTGCACGGCTAGTTAGGACGATGATGGAAAGGAATGCCAAGGGCAAAGAAAAAGCCACTCGAGGTGCTGACCGCGTACCATACGTTGTCTAACTTCGAGGAAGCTACATTAGATGACAACGACTGCTATAATGCTGGCGGCAAAGCAACGACAGATCTCCTATTTATGCTCTCGGACACTATTGCATGTAGAACAAACTATACATTGGATACATTGCATTGATAACTTTGATATGGGATGTGGCCTTATCATAGACTTATAAACTATCAGGGCCGTTCAGCACGAACCGCCACAAGCCACAGGAGGGAAGAAGGCGCGAGACAGTGCTTTTCAATAAAGGCCTCAATTTAGCCGCCGCCTCCGCAACCACCTCCTCCACCACAACCACCACCTCCACCACAGCCACCTCCTCCACCACAGCCGCCTCCTCCACC